TTTAAGATCATTTTAGTGAAAGTTTCATGTTCCTATCTCATAGAATTTAAGAACAATGATGAATAAATAATTTTCGAGCAAAATTTAAATGGCCGGCTGAATATATTACCGCAGGAGCCGCGGCCGCGGAATTTAAATGACCACGTCAAAGGGTTAATCTCGTTTTTTTTTGACTGGAGCAACTATTTCCTTCAAACAGCTTCTCTGTCATCCTCACGAGGCTGAGTGGACCCCATTCCAGACCCATTACTTCTCATAACATCTGGTAGTGCCGGGAATCGAACCCAGGACCTCTGGATCTGTAGCAAGGAACTCTGACCACTAGACCACAGAGGCGGTCCTATTGACATCTCCTACCATACTTATATGTAAGATGTGAAATATTATTAGTTTGGTTTCTTCATTAACTTCCTACTCTCTAAAATGAGTACTAGTATATAGTCTGAGTACATATCATGTCATAGTACATATAGTTTACTTCACCATTATGGATCACTGCTTCTATCGCTTATCTGATGAAATATATTCTACTACCATTACAATTTTCTTTAAGTGTACAACATACAGTGTAAAAAATATGACCAGACACATGACAACAATGAATCGTGGTTTATTTAACAACAGCTTACAAACTACACTGGTTATATACCATCATATGGTAAGATGTTGTAAACACAGAAATGCAAAGGATGTTACAGTGGTTAATGGACCATTTTAAGCTTTCATCTCAGCATTTTCTGAGACAGACTGACAACTTACAAGATTTCCATACCAATATTATTTCTAAGAAAGCTTCTTCTATCTATCTATATAAATAAAAATGTAAATGTTCGTTTGAGTCTTACCGAAGATCTCCGAAACTTCTTCACCGATCGCTTCAAAATTCTGACACAACGTTGCATTCGAACACGCGCGTTTCTGTGTGCCTATTATCTAGATGTCACACCCGTGACAGGTAAAAACCTGCCACATGTTCCGAATCCAGCAGTCGTTTCAATTGTAACGATAGAACAGTTAGCGTATACTTCCATGGGAACGCAATAACAGTTTGCTGTTGCTAGCATTTCCTAAGCAACGGATGAAACTAACTCTTCGATAAGGTATTCCCTATCCCGCCCGAGCGCTGGCTATATGTATAAGAGAGTTTAGCTCCGGCGACTGTTCAGTATCATGAGTGTCTCGAGTATCACAAGATATTCCGCGTGAAATCACAGCATCCACCGAGGTATAAATAGCCCACCTTGGACAAGAAGCAGTCAGTTTCGGGGCAGATGCCATGGGATACGGAAGAGAGCCTGGAGGTAAGCACTGAAGGAGTTAGCCTTGGGATAGCCAACGCCGAATATAAACAGTTTCGATTTATTTTCATTTTGATTTAATTTTTCGTGTGACATTGCCTTGGAATTGGGCTGTGTCGTTTTCATCTATCTATCTATCTTATATAAATAAAAATGTAAATGTTCGTTTTCTCTTATCGAAGATCCATGGAAACCCAATGACAGTGGGCCATTGCTAACAACAGATCGTGCCCTCAATTGTGTCCGAAACCAGGTTGTAATAGTCCAGCTCCGAAGAGTTTTAAATAAAAATGTAAATGTTCGTTTTCTCTTATTGAAGATCTCCAAAAGTTCTTCACCGATCGCTTCGAAATCCAGCAGTTGTTTCAATAGTAATGCTAGAACAGCATATACTTCCATTGAAACGCAATAACAGTGGCCCATTGCTAGCATTTCCTAAGCTACAGATGAAACTAACTCTTCGATAATGTATTCCTTATCCCGTCCAAGCGCTTCAAAATTTTGACTCAACGTTGCATTCGCAGTAGTTGTTTCAATAGTAATGCTAGAACAGTTAGCGTATACTTCCATGGATATGCAATAACAGTGGCCCGTTGCTAGCATTTTTTTTCTTCATCAGTGCAATCGATCTGCTTCAGTTCATTTAAATAATGCCTCGCAGAAGATCAAACGTGGGTCGTCGTACTCGCGGAGAGGAAGCAATGCGTCAGAGTAATTGCAAATCAAACTGGGGAAGAATGGGCAGACTGAGCCACAGCAAGGCGTGGCTGGGCACAGCTAGTTAATCAATATAATTACTGGCTGTGATGGTGGTACATGTTTAGTTTACTTATTACCTCAAACACCACTCAATAAGAGAGCCAGTAGGCCATGCCATAGCTCAAGTGGTTAGTCACTGGCTTCCCACCGTGGCAGCCTGAATTCGATCCTGGGTCTGGTGAAGTGGGATTTGTGATGGACAAAGTGGCGCTGGGGCAGGTTTTCTCCAAGTACTTCGGTTTCCCTTGCCAATTGTCATTCCACCAATGCTCCACAGTCACCCTCACCTATCATCTGGGGCTGGTACAATAGGCCAGAAGTGGCCTCAGCACAAGGTACTTAGTCCCATCCCACTAGCAATAAAAAAAGAGAGAGAGAGAGAGCCATTGCATAGGAACTCTCTCGTGTGTACCATGAAATATCCTAATGATCATTTAGTTGCTATCATATTATTATGAAAACAATTCTGTGTACAAAATAAGCATACCTTGTCATCCAAATAATGCACAGGATACATATCTGGATAGATGGCCTGAATGAAGCTTGTCAAAGGTAGGGTCTTCATCTGGCACATGGCAAACAGACGATCATCCAATCGTGTACTCTGGCCTGTTCTGAAAGCCACCTATAATGAAATCACATAAAGAGAATTATAAGAAGTGAGTAATTCATTCTGTATTCACATCAGCTGCCCATGACTCACTCACTCATCTGTAGAGGCTGTTTCTTGAAAAGCTGGTAGTTACTCATCCATACTGTATCAAATCCAAAGGTTAATCATAACGTTCACAAACGCCCAACACTCAGCTCCACCATAAGCCAGATGAATCCGCATCCTATTTCTCCAAGATACATTTTAATAGTATCCTCTTACCGTAAAGTTTTCTCACCGAAATCTGATATACATTTCAACAGAATGGTGAGATGCGTGTAACACACAGCATGCACAATTTTGGTTGGAATGCCCAACAGGAAGAGACCTCCTGGGGCACCTATGATGAGCTGGAAGGATAACACGAAAATCAATCTGACATATGGTGTGGACTAGATTCAAATGGCTAGGGGTAGGGTGCAGTGGCAGACTCCTGTGAACATGGGAATGAGCCTCTGGGCATTATAAACAGTGAGGAATTTCTTGGTCAGCTAAGCAATTATCAGCTTCTCAAGGACTCAAGATGCATGTAGATATTTATCACATCCCCATGCATGCTACTTGCCCTACTAACACCATTCTTATTGATTTGTTAGGTCTATTTTCTGAATGTGAGATAATTTATTCCGACTTGTGACACACCCTCCTTATGAGGATCCATAGGGCACAACTACATTTCTCAATCTATTTATTCATCCACCCATCCATCCCTTCCTTTAAAGAAATAAAAAACTGTCATACTCACATATTTAAGGAGAGCTAATATATAGAGAGGAAGCAACCGAAGATTGTAAGGAGTGAGCAAACTATTATGGCCTCCACTGGACTGTATCAATTTATATGCAGACAGAACATCAATGGCCACATTAATAAATGCATCCCGGGCATCTGAGAGTGAGGACTCATGTGATCTGTCAACAGCTGAAAATAATTCACAGTTAAACATTACACCAACTGCGTAAAAAAATTGTAATATTAACCAGCAACATGATGTTAGGTTTTCAAAAGAGAGCCAAGAGACAAGTACTTAACTTCTTTTAGCTATGTACTGCATTACTCTGCCAATGGGCCTGTGGTCCAGCTGGTCATGCATCACTTTACTGTCATTAAAATACCCCTTTATTTGCATCCAGCCCACAGCACCACGCTCTCCGCTGTTCTCTACAGTCCTTCATTATCCTATCCTGCTGTGTGATATTTATACACATTGATTCTAGCAGGATCATTCTTATCTTTCATTTTAATATCCTGTTGTATTTTATACACATACAGTAAACCCCTGTGGGAACTGCCCACACTGGTAGGGTAGCTGGCTAGACCAGATGCTGCAGAGGAAGTCATCTGGCACGTCTGGGATGAGAACCAAACGTGTGGTTCGCCCAAGCCAAGGCACAGATCACCTTGGCTGGCATCAGCAGCAAGAAAACCAGGTTCTACTAGGTGATCTTGCACACCACCAGCACAGCGCAGAAGTAAGGGATACCATTACCTCTCCACTGTTTTGGAATGTGGAACTAATGCCCAAAGATTGTAGACACCTTCAGTTACACCCTGTGTGTATCTCTGATGACATTAGTCATATCAATATAAGACCCTACTAGGAAATAAACAGGGCTGTATAAGATAGGGCTGAGAACTCCACTGGGAATATCTTTGCAGAAGTCCTATAAAGAATTGGATCAACATCATTTTTAACTGTCTGTCGAGACGATTCAGAACTTTTACACTATTACATTTTCTAACCATAGAACTGCTTTATCAGTGCAATGTGTAGAATCAATTACAGATGTACTTTACTGACTCTTCCTTAATTACTGGTGATATGTCTGTTAAGTTCTTTTCGAACAGTATTGATGTTGAAGAGAGCAGTCTTCTGGGATTTGGCACTGTGTATATGTGGTGTTAACCGACGTTTCGGAGGTAAAAGCAGTCTGCTTTTACTGGTTCTCACGGTCTCGTCACTTGCGGATTTCTTATATTTTTCCTTCTACCGTGAAGATGGAGGCGATATGTTCCTCCGAAACGTCGGTTAACACCACATAGACATGGTGCCAAATCCCAGAAGACTGCTTTCTTCATAGTCACCGCCGTGAAAGCCTCAAATCTTACATAGTATTGATGTTATGGCCTAAATATGCATGAATTACATCACCTTTACTATAACAACAGAACTTCACTTTATCTTCTACATACTGCCATTGTAAGTCGTATCTGTATTCTTTAAAACAATGAATGGCTTTCTCTGGAATCAGACAACTTATTACAAACAGCATTTCTGCACTAACATTTTCAGTTTATGGTTGTGTCCAACAGACTGTTCTTTCATAACCCATAAATAAATAAGCAAATACATAAAGACAGGTAGACAAACAAACAAATAAATAAATATTTACTCCATGGCAGAGGTAAAAAAATAAACATTTTTCATTTGTTTCATTTGAATCTCCGACTTCCAGTTTGAAGAGAGAATTTCTGTGAACATAATTTAAACATCCTACAGCTAATATTGCAAACACAGCAATTTTCTCATTTCATATGAAACAAGTGGGTAAAAATGAAGATTCTATATCCTAGTTAATTTATACAGACAGGACAGGTTATGAAGAATAACTGCAGCTAACAGATGTTACCTTACCCATTTTTGCAAGTAGTCCAACTATACACTGCTGATCAGCAGAATACAAAATATCACTTAAGTTGGCAGCAACTGGTAAACAGAGAGAATGCACCCTAATTCGACGTTCACCTGAAAAAAATAAATTTACATAAAATGGTTAGTCCAGAACCACCCTCACTTGCTGAAAATGACAAAAACTATAATTTTAAAACAATCTCACAATGAAAAAAAAAACTGCGGCATTTTTTAAGGCATAATAATAGGAAAACTTATTGCAGCAGCTTCATGTGGGCATTAAACTTGGTCTTCCCCACAGGATGTGAAGAAAACATGATTAATGCTATTCCAGAACAAAGTGCTAAGGAGAACATCTGAGCCCAGGATTGAAGTAACACAGAAATGGTACAAATTACATCATGCGGTGCTTTACAATTTGTACTCATCACATAAGATTATTTGGCTAATCACTCTCTGGAAGTAAAGAAGACTGTCAATCTATATCTAGTGCTGTGATTAACGAGCAGTTTTTTTTTACCTGTACTGCCCTTAATGCCACCATGGCATGCTGCTTGGTCACATAACTACTGACTTACCTTAATTAAGGCAAGAAGAATGAGATGGGTGGGGCACTCAGCATGCATTGGGGAAAAAGGGGGGGGAGGTTCCAAAGTGTCTAGGGCAGAGTTTCTCAACCTTTTTCAACTCATGGCACACAGAACAAGACACTGAAACTGTCACAGCACACCACTTTTTAAGGAGACACTTTATCATTAATATTGAGTGAATTGATCTTGTTTAAAAGTTCAGTAGATAATATTCTAATCATTGTGTTATTTTTAAAAATAATGTTCATCATGGATCTTGACAAATCTCTTATTCCTCAATTTTTTCTCACTTCTTTTTGACCTTCCCGCAAACTCCCGCAGCACACGTGTGGACCCTTTGCATCACACTAGCTGAAAATCACTGGTCTTTGGAAACCTGTATTTCGCTTGCTATTAACTGCTTTTCCAACTACATCCTTCGAAAATTCCCTCTAAAATATAGAAATTATTATGGGGGGGGGACATGGAAATGAGATACGATCATATTATTGGAAGGTAGTGTACTTACTGTACTTACAGGAAAATGAAGTAATTTCATACCTTTGCTTGAAGTATATAACACTGCTGCCTGGAAGCAGACATTCTGCAAGTCAGATAGGCTTTCTTCAATGGACACTTGCATACCAAACCCTGCATCAGGATTCACATTTGGTAATGACAGCAAGTCCGTTGATCTCACAAAAAAATTGCCATGGAAGGTATGTATGGCTAATCCCCTGAAACAACACATTAAAAAAGTGAATTCAGTGCAACCTCTATGTAATAAGAATTTAGTGAACTCACTATATGCATCTCCTAATGGGTATTTGTAATGTCCAAAAATAGTTAAAATATGCACCTCTGAGTGTGTCTTATAATTTCAACTTATATATATCACAGTATGGCATTAAGTTGCATTGAGATTTAAAAAGACTAATGTGAGCATAGCAATCTTTATTCTATTTGGCACGGTGAAAATGAAAAAGTTTAAAAAATGGGCCTATTAGCTTCATAATGCATGTGAGTATTCAAGAACCACCAAAGGAATTGTGATAAAATTTGACATTGGGGACAAGTACTAAAAAACTGCCAATCACTTATAATTTTGGTTTAAACTGGACAACAATAATGAGCACATTACATTAAAACCTACAAGAGTTTCTGGATGTATCTAAGGCACAACTCATTAAATATTTAAAGAGAGAAACATTTTTTGAACAGATGGAAATATTTTCTGAGCAATACATTTTATTGTAGGTATTATGATTTTTTTGGTAATTAAACGAAAGGGACTTCTAGGATGTCAAGAGGCAATTATCTAGCGAATGCACCAGCATTGTTACACTGAGTGTACATTTCATAGGTTATATGAAGTGTGACCATCAGGACTTACAGAAGTAATGAAGAATAATCCACCAACATTTTTTGCATTATCTGAACTGAGAAGTTAAACATTTTCTCTTACTTACATTGAGGCCTTCTGCTTACAGGAGATTACTTATTAGGATCCATCCTTTACTAGCATAAATTAACCCACTATTGTCTGCAGGTATACAACGCACAAAGAGTTTAACATAGTCTTTGATATGCTACACCACAGGCTGGTTGTAAATGCAGCTACTTCACCTCATGCTTTGTCACTACAATTGCTTTCTTTTTCTTTGACACAGTAAAGCCTTCCTTAAGAACACTGAAAGATCTTGATCTTCAAGCATGCTGCAGAATGGATAGCTTCTGCTTTGATCAATAATCCATTAACCCCTACAGCAGCTGATCCTGCCTGAGAAAACCATTTGAAGAATGTGGATTCAGTATCTTAATTCTCTGCATTAGACATCTGCTACGGATGAGATGGCTTCCATCACACAGGACAGTTGATTGTATTGTCTTTGTTCTTAAGAACTGTGAAAAATGACTTGGAAGTCAGCCTACATCATCTACCTATTTTGCTTCATAAGCCACCACCTTCACAGAGCTGTAAGACTTCATGCCTATGCTCCTCTTTGTTCCATAATTATGAGTGAACATTTTTTCTATTTAATGTGTTACAAAAATAAAATTACAAAATTGCCAACATGTGTTCACTAGCCAAGTGAAACAACACACAATAAAATGCTACTGGAATGAAGATGTTACATGGTGGACATTTCTTGCTAGCTAAAAGCTTAGGAATCAAGCCTCAAGCCACCAAATCATTCTAAATGTGGACTTAGAACACTATCCCTTTTGCATTTATGTAACACTTTGGAGAGTTGGCCAATGTTTTTTGACTGCATAGTATCATGAGTTGTATCTGTGTGCTTTTGTCTCAAGGTCAAGCAAAGTCTCTGACAAAACAAACAGCATGTTGACTGTGAAATGCACACTTTCTTCTTCCTTGTATAGCTGAGGCAAAACAGGGTTAGTAAAGGTACTTTTATTGGACCACTAGCTGTAAACAGTTTGGGAGAGGAACCTGCAAGTACAGCTGGTATAAAATGTTGTGGAAAGAAAGTTAGAAATTACTTGTCATAATTACTGGTAAAACCCCATACTTTACGGTCACATTCTTCCACATACGAAACATTAAAAAACTGAGGATGTCAATAATTCTTCTAGCTGCTTGATTCCAATGGAAAATAGGCACAAAAGATGAACACACCTTACTTAGACTGTGCACTTCTATGGCATTTCAATATATTAACATTACTTTACTGCCATACCTGCTGCATCTTATCCTCATAACAGATTCAAAGCCAATTTTCCTGGTGAGATACCTCCTAAAAGACCGCTCAAAACTGTCGGACAGTATTGTGTCAGAAGCCTTGAACAGTGGGAAGTGGTAGATGCAACCTCCAGAGAACCGCGACATACCAGCTAATATAAATGGAAGAATTCATAGTCAGTAATTTAAGGAAAAGGATTTGCACATATCAATACAAATGAAATGTATTCTGTTGAAAGTAAGACTTACTGAAGTAATTTCAGTATCAATGGAAACATGAAATATAACTTTCTGTTTAGCTTTGTGGGTGTTCAATATGAGCTTGAGTGGTAACTGTGAAAATCCAAGTGAAACGGAAAGTTATCCCAGACTTTCTGCATTGTGAATTCTACAACTGAAGCAATGGCTATATAAATTCAAAATTTCAAGTCTTCAAGCTCAGTTGATAAGGGCAGGAGACTGATATGTTCTTTAACATAAACCCATCCACAACAATCAGATTCAGAGATCTATGGGACCATTATTTAGCACTTTCAAAGGACCTGTTCACATTCCATCAAAAGAGTCTCACAGAGAGCCTTCTTAAACTTGCCCACTTACATGGCAAAGATCCCCCCCATTTTTATTTCAATGGATACTATCACCACTCCTGGAAGGAAATTAGTTTGTTCAAAATGCCACATCTATTCAGTACCAGAACTCAAAGTAAATATGGTAAATTCTTATCATCCTTTATAAATAAGAGATGCATAACATAATCAAATATGTTCTAATATAACTTACATTTTGTTTAGATATAAAACAAACAAAATATAATTTAATTGTAAGCCTGAATATACATACACAATACATACTGTCACATGTTGGGTGTATAACGCAACAAGTAACTTCATGCCTTATTGGATATAGCGAATTTTATTCCACACTCGCTCAATGACACAGTTTACAATCTAACAACTACTGCTATCTGCAGTATTACAATTACTTGACTGAATACTCTTCCCCGGCCAACTCATAGTGTGGCTGTGTAGTTCCCTTATAAACCCTCAGCCGGACAACGAGAAAACAGTTACGTAACAGGCACCACTGTTGTGTGACGCTGTGTTTGCCGATAGCCTAGCAACGCTGTCGGGAGTTTTTTACGGCTGCATAGCCACCGCGGCATTCCGTGTTACGTCACCGCTGTTTACTCGCTTTGCCTAGCAACCGCTGTTTACTTGCGTTGCATAGCGACCAGTGTGCTGAGACTTGGCTCACTTCGGCTTTGCTCAGCACATCACGGCTGGTGGAGGAGGAGGAGGGCCATCCATAGCGCAACACGTCACACTGCTCCCTCCTTAAGGCTGTTCATCCTGAATAGCCTAATGGTGCAGCCCCGTTCCTTTTCTTCCAAGGATGTGCTTGGTGGGTCTCCTGTTATTTTGGCTACTCCTCGCAGCGACTATTATCTGGCTGTTACAATACTATTTNTGCATAGCCACCGCGGCATTCCGTGTTACGTCACCGCTGTTTACTCGCTTTGCCTAGCAACCGCTGTTTACTTGCGTTGCATAGCGACCAGTGTGCTGAGACTTGGCTCACTTCGGCTTTGCTCAGCACATCACGGCTGGTGGAGGAGGAGGAGGGCCATCCATAGCGCAACACGTCACACTGCTCCCTCCTTAAGGCTGTTCATCCTGAATAGCCTAATGGTGCAGCCCCGTTCCTTTTCTTCCAAGGATGTGCTTGGTGGGTCCCCTGTTCTTTCGGCTACTCCTCGCAGCGACTATTATCTGGCTGTTACAATACTATTTTTGCAGTACATCTTTCATGCCTGCTAAAAATGAAATGTGGAAAACTCTCTGGGACAGGAAGTAGTATAACTGAATTCTGTCACATATGATTACCCCTTAGGATGGCAGCATGAAACTTTTGTTTAGCCAGGGAAGCATGTCTCCAGGAATTTTCAAACACTGGCTTGTAACACAATGGAAATTTTCAAGCTTGTAAAATCTTTCAGCACAGTGAAACTTACAAATTGTGGCCAGGTCACTGTACTGACTGCTGATAAGGAAAAGATCAACAGCAACTTGTCCTGAGCAATCAAGTGCTAGCCGCTTGTAGAAATCAGTGGCTGGGTTAAGATGTGGTGCCTCTTTATCTCTTTATGTGAATTCTGTCGCATATGATTACCCCTTAGGATGGCAGCATGAAACTTTTGTTTAGCCAGGGAAGCATGTCTCCAGGAATTTTCAAACACTGGCTTGTAACATAATGGAAAATTTCAAGTTTGTAAAATCTTTTAGCACAGTGAAACTTACAAATTGTGGCCAGGTCACTGTACTGACTGTTGATAAGGAAAAGATCAACAGCAACTTGTTGTTCTGAGCAACTGAGTGCTAGCCGTTTGTAGAAATCAGTGGCCGGGTTAAGATGTGGTGCCTCTTTACCAGCACGCTGGCTTGGGTCTTCACGAACAGTAAGCAACCCAGGGCCATGGTTGGGCAAACAAGACTGGAACACTGTCACTCGTCCACCTGTTGGTGCCTAAAATGCAACAAGAGTTTGTATTGTCAGTTTTTGTAAATCAAAGCAGTCCAAGCTGGATTTTGTTCTACTACTCCTGTATATATTTTTGCAAGAAGTGCATTAAATGAATGCACATTGTATCTTCATCTGCTTGCATTTGCCATGAAAACTACTAAGGATTTCAAGAGAACTGAGTGTCTCCACAAAACACTATCAGGAAAATTTAATTCTGATTCAAGCTTATCATCAAATTTTACATTTTTTTAATATGGCTTATCATATTAAAAAAACACAACAAAATACATACTACTTTAAGATCTATAACTTTTATTAAGAAACTTTTCTGAGTATTTAATGAAACAAACATAAACATTACTTATTGCTATGCACTGCAGTTACACATAAATACACTTTGCAATGACAGATTTGTGTCAGTAACTAATGAACATTAAATAGTAAACAAGGACATACACATGGACCATGCCATGAGTGACACAACTGGTAGCAACCTAAGTTTGTTGGGGGTATGATTGCAGCTACTCATGGCAGAATATGATGTAGATATATAATATGAAAAAGTAACATTCCTGCATTTTAATGCTTTCATTTCAAGGAAATGCTTCAAAGCTACGACCAGCTGCTATTCATGATATCTTAAAAATAATAATTTGTTCTGCTTGTGTATCTTTACTATTTATTCATGACTCCAGAATCACCATGATCACTGGCACTCTGGTTACAAACCTGCTCAGAATTAGTGAAGTGTCATGCAATTACAGATGATCAGATGACAACTCCTGTGTCAATGAAACTACTGAATATTATTAGGTACTAATAAAAGAAGGGTGTTAAATATGCAGACATTATTAATATGATAAAATGTATAACAACTGTCACTATGTAACAAGAGAATCAGAGACTTGTAGTGCTTACTACGATAAAATAGTACTGTAGTAAAGTGTGAACCATCTACCTGTCTATGACATAACATCCAGGTTTATGGTAAGCAAACTTATCATCTGGGGAACAGAAGTTATGCAAAATGAAAAGAATGCCATGGAGTAAATCTGTTCCCATTCAAGAAGTCTGTGGGTAATCATGACACTGGAGCAATCCATATAGCTGAATGTTGAACAAATGTTAATGCACTGGTCAATGAGCCACCAAAGATGACCTTACAAATATTTAAATGCATTTCTCTGTCATTGTTATATTATTGCCTCAAATGCAACAAAAGCTGGTTCAATGACATTCATATATTCTGAGTGTAATTTTAAAGTGTCTCTGTTCTTGTTCCACCACATAGTATTTTCTTCACTGTGCCACATATACACTGGAAATCACATAATTTCTGTCAAAATTAGTAAGACAGCTAAGATTTATATTGTATACCAGGTATTAAAATGTACCGACTTGTTCAGCTTGTTCACCATTACTGATACCAAGACCAGAGATTATGCAGTAAATTACTGGGTGGTCAGATCTACATTTGGTGGGGGAGGGGGGACCGAGTCTAGAAATCAAAACTCACCCCGTATTTCTTCCCGAAAATTGCATCTAATCTATTAGTATTAAAAGGGTGAATGAAAACACACACTTATGAAAGAGAAAATCTGTAACTGACCATAAGTTTATATGCTGCCTGTAGTGCTGCTCCCAGAGATGAATTTGTATCATATGAGTTGAGAAATTTTCCTGGTAACTGATTCAGGAGATACTTCACTAGCTCCTGGCTTTCGGCCAAATTTACCAGCAAATTGTCAGGACATGGCAAGAACACATCTATAATGAAAAAAAAGCAAACAATAATTTAAATGAACCAAGATTTTAGGCAATAACAATTTCGTGAAATACGTTCAAGATCAAAAAGCAATGAGTTATACTTTTTCACTCTGAAAATGCATTATTGAAAGCAGCATTTATGTTCCTTCAATGTGATAAATATTAGTCATTCTTTCCACACTGGCTCCTTTCAAGTCCATTCTTTGCACACTGTGCATCAAATAGAGGTTGTTTCTGCTGTCCAACCATACAAATTTCATGGAATTCCGAGGTTCTCACAGGAGTGGCTGTCAAATGTTCTATCTTCTTGGATACAACACTGTGTAGACTACTGAAAGTCAACTAATGTTTTGGAGGACCACGTGGTACTCTATCCGAGAAGATAGAAATCTTCAGCTGTATTTCATTTCTTCAACTACTCAACAGATTTCAATTAATATTTACTGGCTACATATTGCACTACTGTAATGGTGCAAGTACACATTTCAGTGATCAAGAGCTGTATTTCTTTAACAGAAATACTATCAAGTCTCAAGTTAAATCCAGTTAAGAACCCCACAGTACCAGAGGATTTAACATTCCTCATTTCTGGATGATAACAGTTAAGTAAATAATCAAAAATATCTAAATTCAAAAAGTGACAACAAGAGTTGGAATATACCTTCAGCGTCCACAACTATCATCTGTTGAGGCTGGCTGAGTCCCTCAGCAAGATTATAAAAGTGAACACTACTGTTATATGTAATGAATCCTATCTGTGTTCTGCTGTCCCCAGGCAATTTATCCAACTCTTCCAGTAGAATGTCACAAAACAGACGAAGATAGCCACATTCAACTCCTAGGCGAGATACGTCCAACAGGAACAGGTACACAGATGGTTGTGGTGGTCGAAGCTGAAATAACATATAAAACTGTTCTTTTACTCATCTGCAAAACTATGAAAGTACATTCTAATATCAGTAGATATGAAGGTAAGGTAGGTCTTAGCTTCCACACAATGAGTGTTGTATATAAAATAAATACACTGAGTAATTCCCATTTAGTGTTTCCCCATTCCTAGTGTTAAATGTGGTCCCAAGTTTAATGTCTTAAGTGTCATATTCCTTTCACTTAAATAATTCATAAATTTACATGGTGCTATCCTGAAGTTCCAGAAATATATTAATAGAAACTATTACATCTTACCTGGATCTTATTCTGCACCATCACCTTCAAAGTGTCCCCTTGGGAGCACATACACCGATCCTAGCGTTTCTGCCACTTTTGAAATGCATCCTGGAAGTCTTTCTTTGTTACGGTGTTTAGTGCCGTCTGTGTTTCCACTTGAATTTCCTCAACTGTATCAAATCTTCACCCCTTCAACTTGATTTTCATCTTGGGGAAGAGAAAGAAGTCGCATGGAGCTAAGTCTGGTGAGTCTGGCGAGTACGGTGGGTGGGGAGCAACTGCCATCTTGTTTTTAGCCAAAAATTCCTGCATAATGTAAGCCATATGTGATCGTGTGTTGTCATGGTGGAGTACCCAGTCATTCGTGTGCCACTTTTCTGGACGTTTTCTCCTCATGTCCTCCCTCAAACGCCTTAGAACATCGTGATAGACCTCTTTATTGACTGCTTGACCAGGAGGAACAAACTCCTTATGAACAATCCCGTCAATATAAAAAAAATAGATCAACATGGACTTAATGTTGCTCTTGACTTGTTGAGCTTTTTATGGCCGAGGTGAAGAAGGGCTCTTCCATTGCGATGACTGCTACTTACTTTCAGGGTCGTAGCCATAAACCCAACTTTCGTCACCAGTGACAACCTTGGAAAGAAAGTTTAGATCCTTTTGAATCTGTTGTTGAAGTTCCCTGCAGACTTCCAAGCGATGTTGTTTCTGTTCATTTTGCAGCAGTCATGGCACAAGCTTCACCGCAATCCTCATGTTCAGTTCCTCTGACAAAATTTGTTGATATGTACCATAACTTAGTTCCAAGGTCTTAGAGGTCTTGGATGGTCAGTCTATGATCTTGCAGAATCAGATCCATAACTTTCGCAACATTTTCTGGTGTGGTACCAGTTGACAGCCGTCTCGAATGATCGTCATCAGTCGATGTTCGGCCATTTTCGAAACACTTATACCAGTTGTAAGTTTGTGTCTGGCCTAAACTGTTGTCATTAAAAGCTTGCTTCAACATTTGGTGCGTTTCTGCAGCAGTTTTACCAAGTTTAAAACAAAACTTTATACAGACACGCTGCTCTCTCAAGTCAGCCATCGCAAAACCGCAAACTCATGGAAACATGACGATGGAAATATGTTCACCAACAATAAACCCAACCACTCAATTTGATGCCGCTTGCCACACTGATTCAAGAAGGGTGTGTGGGGAGACACCAAGCGGTATTTTGATGTACTCATAACCATTCGCGCGCAAAATTCAAATTTTGGGAAATTTTTAATAGCACCATGTAATAATCAAATTCATTGACAACTACAGAAACCTTAACTGGAGATGTCATTGTAAAACTAGGTTTTATGTCAATAACAATATGCTTTCTCATTTCCTTAAGGCTGTTAAGGTTTCTGAGACTCCTGTAATCAAGTAACATATAGATATGCCAAGAATTCCAGCTATGCTCTCCAATTTCAGGCAAGTTTGTTGCTAAGCTATGGAGAATTGTACAGAAGCCATCGGTTGTTTAACCAGTACAGCCAGAATGCAAGAAATATTTACACACATGCTAATTCTCTGCAGTATTGTTTCAACCTAGCTGAATCCATATATTCAACAGAGACAGTGACTGCATCCCTTTTCTGAAGCCCCGACTACAAACTCCCTACATTTGTTACCCCTGCTCACAGCTGTCTGCCAATTGACTTCAGGACACACGGAGCATTCAATTATTGGTGCAAGCTCTGTACTGATGTGTATGAAACTCATCAAAGGATTTACAGACATAAATGACTTTTACATTTTCTTATTCTGTCAGATAACAGCCTAAAGTACTAAACTTCCAAGTTAAACAGACTCAATTAAATTATTCTTTTAATTACCACATTTAAGAACAATTGACAATGATATTCACAAGTTCTGGATGGATTTTAAATACACGTCAAGAAGTTCTTTTTCCAAATTTTCACATACAGTGCAGTTGCACCTCATGTGAATATGAAATAGTGTGGTATAAAAAATATTAATAAAGTCTCACTTTATGAACAAAGCTGGAACTAATGTGAATCCCAAAACACTGGGCAAAAATCATGGATATGTCTCAGAACTTGTCTTGAATTATGTGAGTTTTGAATTAAGTGAGGTCTCCAGGAATGCATCAAAGCATAAAATGTGACTGCACCGTAATACAACTTACCATATATTCTGATGGAGCTATAAATTCAATGGTTGAAGATTTAATTTCTGGTCTTCTGGTGGGATCACCAAATGTTTTGGTCACTGGATCATACTGGAATTCTTCTGGAACTGTAAAGGTTAGAATAAAATATGAATTAAATCTGCTATTTTGTATTTTGTTTTTAATAACCATACAATAAGTCACATAAAAGTAAAAAAAAAAAAAAGTAAAACAGTAACAAGGGTAGAAAATGTTCTCCTTCAACACATTTGCCATTATTTAGCATTTCTGTATCAATTCATTTTATATTATTTATAGATGCTGCTTCAACTGCAGAGTTTACAAAGGGTCAAATGAGACTGGAGCTTTAAGGCTGGCAGACAGTAAGGATTTTGAAATATTCTGTTGCTTTATTTCGAAGCACTAGCTCATTATCATTATTATTATTATTATTGATGGTGGTGGTGGCAACAGCAGCAGCAGTCATCAAAATTTCTCAAAATTCTCAAAAGTTAGCTGCATATTTGGTCCTCAAAATTAACCAAGTTAAAATTTCTTGACAAAAACTAACTCATGTTCACCATACAAAGTTTCATCAAAATCAGTTCCATAGTTTGGGTGCTACAAGGTGTGTCCCAAAAGTCATGAAATATATATATAACTTTTAAATTTATTGATGATATCGGTACAAAGTGTTAATATTCTTCAAAGTACTGTCCATGAGCATCTACACATCTTTTCCGACTCTCCCATGCCCGGTATGCCCCTCAAAGGCCTCGATGGGAACTTCATTTAAAGCTGTTGTCACGGCTGCTTGGATAGCCTGAATGCTTTCAAAACGGCGTCCTTTGAGTGCAGTCTTGATCCTCGGGAACAAAAAGAAGTTGGCCGGAGCTAGGTCGGGGCTGTAGGGTGGCTGCGGCAGCGTTGCCACGTGGTGCTTCACCAGGAACTCATGGACGAGCAGAGACGTGTGGCTGGGTGCATTGTCATGATGCAGCCGCCAGTCAGTGGTGATGTCTTTTCGCACGCGGATGACCCTTTTCCTTAATCTTTCTAGAACATCCACATAGTAGGGAGTGTTGACGGTCTGTCCTTGGGGTAAAAACCCTTTGTGGACCACACCCTTGGCGTCGAAAAAGGCGATGAGCATTGTTTTCACTTTGGATTTGCTCATCTTCGCCTTCTTCGGTTTTGGGGAAGCTGAGGTGTGCCATTCAGAACTTTGGTGCTTCGTTTCTGGGTCGTACTCAAATGTCCACGTTTCATCACNCAGTGGTGATGTCTTTTCGCACGCGGATGACCCTTTTCCTTAATCTTTCTAGAACATCCACATAGTAGGGAGTGTTGACGGTCTGTCCTTGGGGTAAAAACCCTTTGTGGACCACACCCTTGGCGTCGAAAAAGGCGATGAGCATTGTTTTCACTTTGGATTTGCTCATCTTCGCCTTCTTCGGTTTTGGGGAAGCTGAGGTGTGCCATTCAGAACTTTGGTGCTTCGTTTCTGGGTCGTACTCAAATGTCCACGTTTCATCACCAGTAATAACAGTCTAAATAATGAGGTTCAATTTCCACATGTTCCTTCAATTCACTTGCGATCAACACTCGACTGGCCTTTTGCTCGTCCGTCAACAATTTGGGGACCAGCTTGGCGCACACCTTTCGCATGTTCAATTTGTCCATAACGATGTGATGCACAACGGTTTTTGGAATGTTCAGAGTGTTGGCTAACAACCGGACAGTCATTTGACGGTCAGTATTCAACAAATCATGCACACAAGTCACATTTTCATCGGATTGGCTTGTTGACGGCCGTCCAGAGCGGGGGTTATCTTCCACTCCTTCCTGGCCCTCCTTAAACTTCTTTACCCACCTTGTAACTTGCACATATGATAGAGCAGACTCCCCGTAGGCTTGCTTAAGCAGTTCGTGAGTTTCGGCAGCTTTTTTGTGAGCTTTGTGCAGAACTTGACAGCCCAACGTTGTTCGAAAGTATCTGCCATTGCGCGCCGTGACGTGGTCACAAAACACAGGTGCACTAAATCAGCGATACTGATGCCTCCGATGCTCGAGCAGACTGACCTTGGGCGCGCTGTGAAGCTAAAGGCCTCCCCCCAACCCAACCGGTTCCAGCGTGCTCCAACAAATACGAGCGCGGGAAAGAAATATATTTCATGACTTTTGGGACACACCTTGTATTACTTGCAGGGGGATGAAGTGAACTGACAAAAGTAGCAGACACTTTCTGAAATGCATCTAAAAATGCCTGATAATATATGTATACAACACTTGAATTAACTTGAAAATTGTAATGTGAAATGACTAAGACTGCTGTTTCAATTTGTCAATCAACACAGAAACAAATCACATACGTTCATTGACTCTGAAGCATAAGTTGCACTTCCATTTCTTTTGATCAACAAAATAGACAAAGGGGTTGATGTACGTCCTGCACGACCGACACCGCACAATGGTACTACACTGGATAACAGGTAAGTGCTGAAATATGAAATTTCAAATCAATGTGATGTTATTTCAAAGGTGCATAATACAACAAACTCTGATTAACCTGTACTATTTAAAAAGTGAGGCCCAATAACAACCAAAGGCAGCCATCTGAACACCTCGCCAATAAACTCCGTGATTTCAGTCCACAAGTGAACTATACTGACTGAGCGACCGCCGCTTCTCAGCGAAGCCAACTTTAGCGGAAAGAGGGTGTTGCGTGGTCAGCGCAACGAATCCCCACGGACGTTAATTTCGGTTTTCTAGGTTGGAGCCGCTATTTTCTTGAAATAGTTCCTCAATTAGCCTCACGAGGCTGAGTGAACCCTGTTCCAGAACCACTACTTCTCAGAAAATCTGGTAGTGCCGGGAATCGAACGCGGGATCTCTGGATCTGTAGCCAGGAACTCTAACCAGTAGATCACAGAGGCGGTAACCAACAAAAACCTACCATGAAGCATAGAAAAAAAAATTGAATCACAAATGATAGATAAAATTTGTATCAGTTTTCAGCTAACATTATTCTTATAGTACAACAGACAATGACATTGCTTAAAACTTTAAAGATGTTATGTAACACAGTCAATAGCATTCAGACTTTCACATTTACTAAATTACCGAATGTCAAAGTGAATAGCATTCCTGCTTTTTATCAAGGAGACTACAGACTTGATTCTCAGCTTGAAAGCTTAACATTCTGGCTAAGATTTCCCTCATACCTTCAATGCAAATGTGGGGATAACGCGTTAAAAAGGACATAAACTCTTCCTTCCTCATTCATGCTTCACAATAATTCTTCCAGTCAATGCTATATAATGTTTGCAGATAACAAAGGAGATATATATATATATAAATATATAATGGACTTAATAATTCACCACTGTGTCCTTCAATGTTACTACAGTGTTACTTTTCAGTTTCTACTGTATTATATACCACTATCATCAAAATGATGTCAATACGTAACAGTTTATAATATTATATTTCAGCATCCTGTTGCATTGAAGTGTTAATTGTAGTCTTCTTCTGTCTATAAGGTACAACACTGATCAACAAATGAAACACAAAACTATGGGAGTGGCACACCCAATGGAGCACAAAATGGCTGCAACAAGATAGGAAGAACAAACATCACGTAACACCAAAATTACAATAATGACAACATACTTTAAGAGTATTACTGACTAAGTGTACAGCGCAGTGCATTCCTAAACAATGTGTTGCTTGAAGATGGCCCTGTGTGGCTGATACATGTAGTGTATAAACATAGTATACATATTTTAATGACTTTTTAACTATTTTAATGAACATTTTAGTGAATTAAATGTGGATCAGTGTCATTTAAATCCATAATGATATTGCTGCATTACAGATGGATGAAGACTACAAGCAATGTAACAGTTTATGCTCAGAGAAATCCTTTTGCGAACTAAAACTTAATTACAATGAAACACTTACACTTAAATCCTTAAAGGGATGAATAAGAATTCCTAATGGCAATCTTGATTTCTGCAGAAGAGAACTAGATTCTGGAATTTTTGTTAAAGTGCACCTAAAAATTCTGGAACATAAACAACATTAAAGTATAAACAGAATCATATGTATAAATCATTTCATCTACCTTACCATCCTGAACGTCTCCTTTCAGCCACATACCTTCCAAAATTTTCAAAATAAATTAAAAAGGCTCATTTCATGAATAATCAGACATGTGCTGGGATAAAGTCGAGACCTAGTGACACATTTTCCTACCAGATTTTTCTCAGTGAAGTCTGTTATAAATTATCTAATGCCAGCTGCTATATCAATGAACATATCCTTCTCCACCTACTGATTCATTTAAACTAAGACCCATCTGCTTGTGTTTCCAAATACATAGCTGTATAAAACATACCAAGTGATTCCATCTGTTTGCTTATTCACTACTTTCTTATTTAAATGAACAAAATGTTGTTCAAATTACTGAAAATGTATACCACAAAACAATGCAGTGCACATATGTATCATAAATGTCTGGCTGTGACTTACATCATAAACATAAGAGAGTATATAGTGGAATATTTTTATGTACAAGTAAGTACTTGTACAACATTTAAGAATTTTCAGGTATCGCGGGACTCCATCAAGATCAGATTTAACTAACATAATAGGAGAGAGATTAATGAAATACAAATAGATTTCAACATTGATGTTCAGAAACATGGTCAGAAAGTATCGCCTCAAATATTTCATTAGCTATGTACAACTACAAGTTACTGAAGCGCTGAAACACTCAGCCTGTCTTCTCGAGTTTCAGGACAGTCCCAAGATTTCAGCCCAGCAACAGAACAAAAATGATAGTAATGCTACAAGTGGTTCAAACAAAAAAAGAGTAAATGAATCATCTGCTACAGAATGTGAAAATCAGGGTTCATACAGAGAATTACAATCTGTTCCATAACCATGACAAACTTATTTGTGCAAGTTTTGGGGAATCAGGGTTTATACAGAGAATTACAATCTTTTCCATAACAATGAGGAAATCATTTGTGCAAGTTGCACTTGTTTTTAAAGATATTTGGAAGAAATAAAGAAACACTAGGCACTTTAATTTTAAACTGGAAAAGACTGATTTAATAATGCTACTTACTCAGGACTACAATTAACACTATCTAAGAACTCTTGATGTAATCTAACTTTTGGTGCTTCAACCTTTTCTGCAGGCAACACATTTCTATTTTGAAGCAGATCAATGCTTTCCATCCCCTGCAAACAACACATGAGACATTCATGAAAAATGTTAAGTTCATGACAAGCAACACACACAGTAAGGGAACCAAGTTATTTGTTAACACAGATGATTTAGATAAACGAAACACAAGACTGAACAATCAACTTGCACGTCCACTGAAGCAGTTTAATATTATGCTCAGTTTCTGAAGATATGTACTGTTATGTGTTGGGTATGTCACGCGACAAATAAATATACGTGGGTCTCGGATTCAGGATATCTTTATTGGACACTCACACTCATACTCTTTCCAACTATTAGCACTTGCAGTATTACAATTACTGCTTACACAATATCTCGGCCAATACTTCTGTAGCTCCAACTATCTTCAGTGGCAGCTTCCTGACGACTCTCTTCTTCACCGACTAATTCCAGACTGCCTCCTTCAGCGGTTAATTTCAGACTGACTGGGTGAGTCAGAGTCAGAGTTACATTGCGACTGACGATCAGTCAGTCAGTAAGTCTTGGTGTTGAGCCCCATTTGGGGCCTCATGACCAGATACTAATTATTATCGTTTGACAGTTACGATCTTGTTTCTGTGGGGTGCCCTCTCTGACGAGAGGACGGATCTGTCTTTTGCATATGCTGCTGGCTCTTGCCAGCGCAGTTTTTTTTGGGTCCGAGTCCCTTGGGACTTGCGACCATATTTTACTGTCTCAGAATTGAGACTTGAGAGACAGACAGAGAGAGAGAGAGCAAGAGAGAGGTGCACACACACACACAAACTTACAGATCATCTTCAGAGGGAACATCAATACTTATTCGGAAACCACCATCACAATAGGTGTTCTGATTGCTAAATTACATACACATATAATGCCTGAAATACACAATGTACACAATATTCAACTTTTCACAATCACAGCAGCCTTCCTGGTATTAAAACTTTTAAAGTGTTTAAAAAATTTAGCTTACCTGGACTTAAATATATTTAATAGACACAGACAAATAGAAATGGAAATATACAGAAAACCCACAACGACAGACAATAAATAATAAATCATGCCACCCTAAAGAACAAAAATTGCCAGCATATAGAAATTGGATACACAGACTTCTTACACTATCCCTTGAGGAAAATGCTAAAAACAAAGAATTAATTACTATTATTAATATAACACTAAATAATTGCTATAGGAAGGAAGACATCACACATCTATGTAACAAACTTAAGCGAAAGATGGTTAACCCGGATAATAATGACGAAAAGGAACAAAAAGTGTCACTTCTACTTATACAGGAAATTACATATGAAAAATCACAGAACTATTCGAAAACACTAACATAAAGATAGCCTTCAAAACAGCCAACACAATAGGTAAACTAATAAATGAAAAACGAGAAATAAACCCCTACGAACAAAGTGGGATATAGGAAATAACATGCCAAAGTTGCCAAAATGTATACATCGGCCAAACTGGTAGAAATCTAACAAGATACAAAGAACACATAAGAAACATAAGACTAAAGAAGGACGAATCAGCATTTGCCCAACACATACTAAATAAACACCATCAGTACGGGCCGATGACAGTAATCATGGAAATGATTGAAAAGCCAAAAAATAGAGGCATCATGAAGGTAAATAAATTGATAGAAGAAAAAGAACACACAAAAGAAAGTAATAGCCAACGTAACATGTTCGACCTCATGATACATCAGAACACGCCCACCACTCTTTTCTGACTGGGTGAATGAATTCAACCCCCTTTTATACCCTCGACTGCTGCTATGCAAAGATGAGCCTTTGTTATAACCGTGGAAACGCTGCTTTGTTGATTCTGCGATTCCTACGCAACGACCATTCGTCGTAACCGTGGAGATTCGATGTTCTCGATACAATGGCTCACTGCTGGGATTACAGTATCGCTATTGTTACTTCCCAGGCAACGGTCTGTTCTAGCGTTTCCATAGAAGTGACTCTTCTGGATTCCAAACACGTTACAGTATCTTAGTTTATGTGGTACTTAAACATGGTATGTAAATTAAAACTGTGATCTCCTGGATTGTGACACCAAATAGTTTTATGAGAAACACTGGTATCCAGCACAGAATTACACAACTCACAAGGCCAAAATCTTAACAATCACTGCCATGAAAACCTTGAAAGCTACTTACCCAGAGTTTGTTGAAGCCCGTCTGTGAAACCGATAACCCTGACATCTGTGATGCAAGAACATCTCCACCAGTCTGACCCCTCTGCTGATATACTTGCTAGAAGGGGTTTTAAGAATATCAAATATTAAATTCCAAAAACCAATACAGCAACAGATAATGACAATTTTAAAACTAAGAAATATTCCCAACCCACAATAACATAAAATCTTTGAAAACAAAGAAATTACTTTATGCAACTATTTCCCAAAGAAGAGGTGAGGCAAGTGTTGCATCGAATTTGTCAACCTTGATATGCTATAGTGTTCAACCAGGGAAACATCAGGTTTCTGTATTCAGATCCTGAATTGTCCAGTGAATGTGCACTGTCAGTCAGTGCATACTAATTTGTTCTCTCTCTTAATGCTGTTAATTACATTTATATTGATTTCCATTCTTATGCATGTTAAATAATTCAATTCTAAATATGAAGTTTAGTATGAAAATGAGTAAAAGTCCTCACAGCAGAGGGTGACATGTAATTAGGTGTGTGATGAAGTCTCAACTGGTGATATCAAGTGTAAAGTAGTAGAGAGAAATTTATTTTTTTAACTATAAGGGAGCTGTTAACAGACTGTTTCAGGAAGTAGTTAACTCAAGTTTGAGAAGTTAAAGGAACTTCCTGAAAAGGCTTCTAGAAGAGGAGAGCTGGATTCATTAACAGATAAGTTATCAAAAACAGAAGGTGTGGATCTATCTTGCTGAAAAGTTTCTTTATGTAGCAAATTACTTACAGCAATTAGTGGAAAAACTGACTTTCAATGGTATGAAAAAACTCTGCAAAGTTTTAAAACGAGCTGGTTTCAAATGTAAGAAATATGCCCCCTTACCACCCCCACCACCCCCTTTTAAAAGAGTGACCATACATAAAAGCATGCCATTTCAAATACAGAATTCAGTCCTTTAAGTTTATGAAAATTACAAATACATATTCTAGTCAAGTTCACATATTTTCCAAATGTATCTTTCTCTATCCAAGGTGTGGAGAAATGCCAGCCTGAGAACTCTTTCAGCCAGACCATAGAGAATCAATGATTTAAAATTCAGAAAATGACTAGTCAGCTGAATTTAATCTTTCATTTGATGCTTGTATGTCTCCACTAACCTAAAACTCAAGTTTACTGATCTGTAAAGACTAGGAAACAATTTAAGTTAGTGACAAAAATTACTGTGTATGTTCTAATAACTGCACACTTTTATATGATTACAGGTTCTTGCTCCAAAATATGTGCAGATATTTTCTGTGAAAAAAATTAAATTCTACAACATGCCTGCAAAAGTGGACAATCACCTTTGAGGAGTACGGAAAATTTCAACAGTGGAAATTCCCATCTTCAATACAGTAGTTAAGGCATATCTGCATTACAAGTATTCTTATTAATTACACACAACTTTGCCATGTTTTCAGTAGCATTCTAAATGTCTCATCAAATATGAAATATGTAACTGATTTGTGTAATTTTTTTCATAACAAATGTTGTTTCTTATTAATTATCTGACTTGGTATCCTTAAACATTATGTGCCCTTAACTTTCTTAACATACAAACAGATGGTCCATAAAAAACATTAAAAAATTTACACTGATAAGGATGTTTGGCTCATAAGGAGTACTGGATATAAATCATGTTTAATTTTTCTCCAAAACTTCTGTGGAAACATTTTGCACTCCAAGTGTGTAATGAGTTATGCTCAAGAAGCATGCCAAAACGCATTATAAAGTATTTGTTATTGATGTCTGATTTTACCCACAGCTGGAATCTCAATAAATTTTATTAAAAACTCAATATCAAATTTATGGAAAATCCATTCCTCAGTTCTCACGTTGTTAACACAGACTGATGAACCTAATAGCCACATTTTGCATCTATTTGTTGTACATGCTCCAAAAAGAATTAAGTACTGCCATACACACTTTAATTTCTTTAACCTTTAACCCTTTCGCGCGGTGATTTAAATTCCGCGGCCGCCTCTCCTGCGGTAATATATTCAGCCGGCCATTTAAATTTTGCTCGAAAATGATTTATTCATCATTGTTCTTAAATTCTATGAGATAGGAACATGAAACTTTCACTAAAATGATCTAAAAAGGTGGTTTTATAACCTTACCTTATAATATGAGCAGCCGGTATCTCGGCAATGGAAGCAGTTTGTTTAGAATTTGAGCAGTGAATGGTACGCCTTGAAGCATGAAACTTTCACTAAAATGATCTTAAAAGATGGTTTTATAACCTTGCCTTATAATATGAGCGCCCTGTATCTCGTCAACGGAGTATGGTACGCATTGAAGCATTCTACTATACACAGCGCTGTCTCACTTCACCACACCAGTACTGCGTATCTCTCATTTGGCTCTCTTTTCCGTAAACCAAACATCTTCTGTGAGGCCTTGCATTCTTCCCCGTGGGGGGAATACAAGAATTAATGTCTCTCCATGAGTCATATCGCTAGCCAGATTAGCTGCAGTAAATTCAACCTTTATGTTATCATAACAAGTGTTGGTGCTTCTGCGTTTCATTTTCCATCCATTTTGGCGGCATAAGACGTCGTAGGGGTGACCACAGAATTCATGAAGTTATTCTAAGAACTATCTGGTATGTAGTGACCGAAAGCAGAGATTAGCTGGCTCAAAAAAATATTTATGGTCATCCCTCGAAACGACCACCAAGGTCAGTACGATAAAATGGAGTCAACTGGAGCGATAATACATGAAGGAATGAGTTCTTTTCCATCCCCCACACACACCCGTATCGTCACAGGGGGTGACCACAGTGTTCTGCCTTAAATTGTGGCGTTTTTCTAAGAACTGGGCCTTTGTACTGTGCGAAATCAATCGATCTTGCAAGAATAAATGTTTGGACATCCTTATTCTAAGAATTCCAATTGAGTGTGTTAGTGTGGCCAGCTCAGGGCAATATGATATTATAAACAGCAAATATCACGTCTCTGCTCTTTATATCTTCGTAGCAAAGAAAACACGACATTCATAACGGTGAAACCCGCTAGCAAGAGCCACAGGAACTTTGCTGCAAGACAGGCATATGTAACGATGACTTAGCGCAGATAAAGACGTGTCATATTATACTCTGTACTACTGACAACAGGCCAGCGAAAAATCTAACAATCTACAGCAAAACCATCAATTATTATGGGCGTTATAACATAGGTGTGCAGCTGGACGAAACATACACGTCGAACCCCCCCAGACGATTTAAATACCTGACGAAACATACACGTCAAACCACGCCAACGGGTTAAGAGACTAATGTCACCATACGGCATCATTTAAAGTACAGGCGAGTGGCCGTGTGTCACCGTATGGGTACCTGCAGTCCACGCGTGTGCATAGTGTTTTAAAATCTTATTTTAAGATAGAAATTCTTGTTCTACTTACACTATTTTTGGACACCAGCTTTATAAGTAGACTGTCTTCCCTCCTGCATCATCTAACTGAATGTTGCACGTCACTGCATGCAGAGTCCGACATCGCAATTCATGCACTTTGTCTGTAATTAACTCTGTTTTCCACGCAACGCACGCACACGCAATGTTGGTCTCGTATTAGCAGGAAGTAGGCCAGTGATGGCGCGTGGTCTCCTCTATTCATAACGCTTATAAAACATCCCAATTTCAACTATGCACCATGGCCCCTTTTCGCATTGAAGCTGTCGAAATAGAGAGGCCGCTCGTAAATCAAACCATTCAGAATGCGGTACACAAGACTGAAAGCACGTAGAAGAAAGGGGCCATGTGCAGGGCTTTCTACACTATTTTTGGACACCAGCTTTATAAGTAGACTGTCTTCCCTCCTGCATCATCTAACTGAATTTTTCATGTAACTGAATGCAGAGCCCGATGTCACAATTCATGCACTTTGTCCGTATGTAACTCTGTTTTCCACGTGAAGCGCACACAGCAACATCTGTCTCATATTAGCAGGAAGTCAGCCAATGTTGCCGATTTGCCTTCTCTAATCATAACGCTTATAAAATATCACAATTTCAACTATCCACCATGGCCCCATTTCGCATGGAAAAAGGCGAAGTTAATAGGCAGCTGATAAATGTCACTGATTTAGAATGTGGTACATAAGACTGAAAGTACGTAGAACAAGGGTCCAAGTGTGGGCCTTTCTAAGAAGCTTAACACTACTTCTTGTGTGGCAGATACGTGTATACACAGACAGAGCCTCTGAGGGACGTGACCTCACTCTTGTATATACAGAAAGGTTGGGAGTGCTATTTAAGCATAAACATTGCTTCCCCTTTGGCTAAGATAACGCAGTACGAGTATGAATGATGTCACCAGCAGGCATTTATACTGCAGAAACGTTTTGTGCAGAAACTGACTGCATATTTGTGGACAGACGCTTAAAATTGGGGGAAAAATTTTTTTTAATCAGTGTAACAATTTTTATAGATTCTAAAACCTGTAAATTACAATATCTGATTCAATATTCTTTCTAGATAAAAGCAGCGTTTATTTCGTTCGTTTATCACAAAAATTGTAGAAATCACAGCATTTTGAGTAACATGACTACAATTTTTATTACTCTACAATGGCGGGTATTTAAATTAATTCTGTCCCACTGCCACTAACGGAATTTAAATGGCCCGTCCAATAAAGGTTAAGCCTTAGTACCATACTGTGATATATGTAATGAGAAGTTAGGAGCTAGACTTGAAGATTATGTACGAAGTGTGTTCAGGAAATAACGGGAATTTTAAAATTTCGCGGGTTTGGAGAGTCCAATTGTCAAAATTTTTTTTTATTATGTTGGTATACATGCCCCTGAAGTACAATAAAATTTTCAGCTGTATTCATTGCTTACTTTGTCTGTGGCAGCCGCTAAGGTTAGACGTGTTTTTATGAGCTTGGCGATTTTCGTTTGTTAAAAGAAATGGATCAAAGAATTTGTATCAAATTTTGCGTAAAAAATGAAATAAAGTGTTACAAAGTGTGTGAAATGTTAACAAAGGCCTATGGTGAGTCTGTTATGAGTAAAACAAGAGTTTACGAGTGGTATAAGCGTTTCCAAGATGGCCGTGAAGACGTTGCAGATGACGAGCGCCCCGGACGCCCCAGCACATCAACAACCGATGAAAACGTGGAAAAAGTGAAAGCAATGATTATGAATGATCGCCGAATCACAATCAGAGAAGTC